CAACAACCGACGGGTTGTGACGGGCGTGGTGGATGGCGGAGATGCAACGGCGCTCCTGAACAGCGTCGCCTTCCACCCGCGCCTCCACCAGCTGCTGCTCAAAGATTTCAACAGCCTGCCGTACATCGCCGTTCCAAAGGTGTGCCCATCCCACAAACAGGCGGCACTTCCGCAGCGTGGCGGTGTCGTGGATGAGTGCAGCCGTCTCGTAGAGCATTATAGCGCACCTCAGGGCCTTGTCTGCGCGACGCAACGAGGCCCACCCACCGCCCACGGTCTGTAGAATCGCCATTTTGCAACATGCTGCGTACCGCCGCGCCTGCCCCTGGTGCGCGTGGCGGCCCCACGTCAGGCAATAGTCAATAAAGAAGCGACCAGAGGTGGGGAGTGCAACGTAGCAGGGAGCACCGCTGCATGTCGCCTCACCAACGTAGAAAAGCGACAGGGAAGGAAAGTCACTCGTTCCGTGCATCATTGGAAACGTTGCTTCTGCTGTGAGAGCCCGCAGCACGTAGTCGGCAAGAGAGCTCCGAAATGCCTTGTTTTTCTTGTATCGTTGCACCTCAAAAAACATCCCCACCGCGCTGCAGGAGTCGCGCAAAAGCACCACCTCGGCACATGCCATCCACGCGGTCCCCCCTCCAAGCCATACACACAAGAGAGAGTACACATGAGTGACAGAGAGGAAGCAAAGATGAGAGTGCTCGTTCATACAGCCAAACAAAACAAAGAATTAAACCAGCAAACAACAGAATAAAGACAAGTCCGCCAAGCAAATGCACAGACAAATGCATGTTATGTGCAGTAATTTGGGGCGACAGAACCCCAGAAAAAAAAAGAAAAGAAAAAAGAAGAGACTTTCCCCTCACGTGACTTCCTGTCGCTCGCCACCCGCCATGTCTTCGCATGACGGTTGTTGCTGCAACGTTGCACCGGCACTGCCGTTGGCACCAACACTGTTATGGATGCCATTGGTATTCGTAACACCACCACCGCTGCCGGCACTCCCCCCGCAAGACGTCACAAAGGCGGAGATACATACAGCAGCAAGACAGCCAAGCGCCACGCTGCCACCACATTGCATGACAAGCACACGCTGATTCAACTGCGCAAGAAAGTTCTTCAAAATTTCCACTTCGCTCTCCAATGAGGCGCTGCGGTGCCGCAGCCGAATTAGGCTGTGGAGCAATATTGATTGACGCCGTGACATTCGTCGCATCGTCGCCGCAGAGCGGCACACAACCCTCCAAAGCCGCGCGTTATCTTTCTCCAGTTTCCCCAGTTGCGTCTGCAGCGCATCGCTCTCCTGTTGCATCCGCATCAAGTGTGACCGCTCCGCTTCGACCAGCCGTGATGCCTGCGCGTCGCTCTGCGCCATTCTTGTGCCAAAGTACATGTACGAGAGGAGGAGCGTTATGGCACATCCGCCCAGTCCCGCTGCCGTGTCCATACGCCACTGCGACTCGAGCACCGCCTGGTAATGCGCCGAGGCATCGCCTGCCCCTGCAGCGTACGCCTCCTTGCACAGACGGTCCACAGCCGTGCGGTCAAAGTAAGGTTCATCGACTACAGCCTTCGAAGCACGTGACCCCATCCAAAGCAAACGCTGCAGTACAACGAGGCTCAATGCAAAACGTTCAGGCGCCCTAACACCCAACAACCGTGCGGGTGAAACAGGCCCAGATACTGCAAAGAGACACAAAGTGGGAAAAGGAGAGAAAGAGAGAAATAACATCGCAAGGCTTCGCCCTCAAATTTAATGGCGGTCAACAATAAAAACAACATCCCCACTCCTCATTCCCTTCCAAAGGGAGTTCATTCACACTGTACATTTACGCAAACTCCACAAAAGGCATTGCTGCGTGGCACTCACTTCCTGACGGGCATAAGATCCTCGTGTTGGGAGTACGCGGAAGCGAGTGTGGTCAGCACTGGCAGCAAGTGGCTTCGCAGCACGCGAGCGGCGCACCCCTCAACGACCAGGCAACTGTTCGTCTCCGCAAAGTTCTCCGTGACAATTGTCACAGAACTGCATTCGCGACGCGCCAAAAACGCCTCTTCGCCAAAGACGTCACCGACAGTGAATTCCTGCGCTCTGGGGGATTTCGCGGTGGGGCCAAGCACCCCAAACATACCGGCTGTCACGAGAAAGAGACCCTTGAAAGAATCACCCGGCGATATCACCACATCTCCCCTGGAAAAAACACGTTGTGTGGCACAGCAGCACATTCGAAGCCGCGTCCAGACATCTAATGCCTGCAGCAAAGCACTCTGGCGAAGTAGCGGATAATAAGCCTCAACTCGTCCCGCCCATGCGTCGCAGAGAGAGCGACAGTGGCTGAGCGGTATGCAGTACACAACCCCCCGCACCGCCTCTTCCAACAGACCCTGACTGAACAACACATCGCCGTGCGTTTCTCCAAAATAGTCGCCACGTCTTAGTTCAAACCCGCGCGGGCCGGCTTTCGCGCGTAGAGCGCCAGACTCAAGAAGAAAAAGATGTACACCGTCACCGCGAAGACCGCTGGAACGCGTGACAACCTCCGTTGTCGACATCGTGCGGGCGTACAATACCGCCTCGCTGATCTCTTCCAAAGACATGATGTCGCCCAAACCAGTCTCTGTTTCCAGGAGCCGCCGGAGAAGCTGCTGCTCCTGCACGGTTTTCCTGTCGTGGACGGGGAGTCGCTTGATACTATCGGATGGGGCGCGGGGAAGAACTGGAGGAGCCCGCGGCAACGTGGCGTTGTGCCGCATCTCCCTTTCAATGTACGCCACCAGTCGACCATCGACGGCGTCTCGATCAAACTGCACCTCTTGGATCCGTCGGTTCCATCGCAGGAGCTCAAGAAAATGGTGGGCGGCGATTGTGCCGATGGGTTGCCCCGCCAAATCAATGACGCGGAGCGATGGGTGGGTGGCTGCCATGCGGCATATTGCCTCGATGACATCGTTCCCCGTGACGCCCTCGCACTGATAGGGGTCGGCAAGAAAGAGCGAGGTAAGGTTGGAGAAGTCGAGCACCTCCAGAAACGGCAGCTCGCGTGCCACATCCACAATCGCCAACGCCCCACGTGCTCCCACATGCACCAGCGCATCGATGCTGCCGATGACAGGGGTGAGGCGCAACACGCGGCGCATGGCAAGCGGCACCATCGCCTCCCGCTTCTGCCGTAATTCTGCCGTGTCGTCCTCAATCATCTGCAGGTCCTCGATGGACACGCCACGCTCGTGTGCCTCGTCCTTCAGACGTGACAGATACGCCCAATCGTCCTCCGCTAGCAGTGCGAGCATCTCTTCATTCGGCTTCCCAACGCGCAGCTCCCCGCAGCGAAACATGTACAGCGCGTGGAGCTGGTTCTGGTCAGGAACGAACATCACCTGCTCAAAAAGAGGCGGAGAGCAAGTGGGGGCACCTTCACGAAAAGAGAGCAGCAGAAAAGCCACATGTAAATAAAGGAGAAAACAGAAATGCAGGCAAACAGGCACAGTAAAATAAAAGAAAACCAAACAACAGAACCAGAAAACAGGGCAACAGAAATAAAACCATCATCGTCACACACAAAGAAATCCCCATGGTTGCCGCCACCACCGCCAGAGCTGACATGAGGATGAATGGTCTGTATCCACTTTCTTTTGTTACATCAAGTGCGGCCTCATTCACGCGCCAACATCGGGCGGCCATCTACAACATAAAAACTAATGTCCTTCTCCGGTAGGGAGTCAATCTTACCGCGGAGGGCATACAATTCGGCCACCGATTCATCCGAGAAGTCATTTCCCCAGAGACGCAGCGATGTGAGGGAGGTGTTCGTTTCCACGGCCTTCGCAATGGCGGAGATGCCGCGTCCACCAATAGTGTTGCTGCCAATGTGAAGTGCACGCAAGCCGGGATGCAAAGCGATAGCCGACGCAAGAGACACGGCGCCCACGTCACGCAGCCGGTTGGCGGTGACGTCCAGGGAGATGAAATCCGGTCGTTGCGTCAACAGCGTTGCCAGCGTCTCGCCCGAGTCCTGAGAGAGTTTGTTGCCCTTCAGCGAGAGGCAGACGACAGCGGAGCTGCGGAGAGGCGAGCAGAGCAGTCTGAGGTCATCGTCGGTCATGTTGAAGTGGCTCATGCCCAAAGTTTGCAACGTCGTGTTCTCCTTCAGCGCGAGCGCAAGGTGGCGCACCACACAAGCGACATCGTCCGGATTGTTCATGAGTGGCCGTCCCAGGTTCAGGGTTGTCAGTGTCGAGTTCCGTGCCAATCCTCGCGCGATGCGCACGAGCGACTTCATGTCCTGCTCCGTGTTCTCAAGATCGAGCGTCGCAAGGAGGCTACTGTTGCCCCTATCATCACTCTGTAACAGCCTCTCCATGAATGGACCGCAGGCGCCGCCGATGGGGTTGCTGCGCAGCAGAAGCGTACTTAGAGCCTCGTGGGTTGTGGCGGCGGCGGCAAGGGCGTTGGCCCCCTCCGCGTCGATGGCGTTGTGCGACACGTCCAGGTACTGCAGGCTGCGGAAGCCGTTCTGCATGGCGTCAGCAAGTGCAGTGGCCCCGCGCGATGACACCTCGTTGTATTCGAGGTGCAGCTCCGCCACGAGCGGTAGTCGTGCGCACGTCTCCGACAGGGCCACAACCTCATCGTCCGTGATGCGTTGGTGGAAGCGGCCAAAAGTGTTGCCGCACAACCGCACCGTGCCGCCCTCCAGCGCGAGGAGTTCCCCTCGCGGCGTCACGGCAGAATCGGCACACGCGCTTGTATACAGTTCCCTCCACATCACGACCAAAAAGAAAGACGGGAATCCTGCTGTCTCCTTCCAATCCCCCTTACGGCGTAATATGACGAGACGCGCCGCTCCGCCCGCCCTGCACCTCCCACTTTGCCGGCTGCTGCTACCTCGCCGCGTAATGAACAAAACCACAACAAGGAAGAAAGAAATGAGGCCCGCAGCGGAGGCTGCCATGAGAATTCCACTCGGTTTTCACGCAGCAGCAAAAGCAAATAAATAAATAATACATACGCATACACAGTGGGGGAAAAAAAAGCAAGGAACGAAGAAACGCATGGTGGTGGCGTTGGCGTAGAGCGCCGCAGACACACAGCAAGAAATTAC